AGCAGAGACAATATCTATTTTGATTTTGTATCCCCAGAGCCTGGCCTAGTGGTTAGCACTGTGACAACCTCATGCATAAAATCCTAAATGGATGTGAAAATAAGCAGATTAGTTGGCTGGGCATAGTGGCTGACGCCTGTAATCCCAGCAGTTTAGGAGGCTGAGGCGGGCGGATCACGAGGTCAGGCGATCGAGACCATCCTGGCCAACATGGTGAAACCCCGTCTCTACTAAAAATACAAAAATTAACTGGGAATGGTGGCACATGTCTGTAATCCCATCTACTTGGGAGGCTCAGGCAGGAGAATCACTTGAACCAGGGAGTCGGAGGTTGCAGTGAGCCGAAATCACACCACTGCACTCCAGCCTGGCAACAGAGCAAGACTCTGTCTCAAAACAAAAAAAGAAAAAGAAAGAAGGAAAATAAGCAGATTAGCCAAGGCAAAGTAATACAAATGTAAATTACTTTCAACTGGTTATAGGAGACAGGGACAGAACACCTATTATCCCCAGGCGCCCTCTGGAAAAGCAGCAATTAGGGATTAAGGGAGAAAAACTAGAAGTGTCTGGAAGAAAGGTAGACAGACAAAGAGGAAGAAAAGAAGGACTGGCTCAGAACAGGGACTGCACGTTCCGGGCACTGGGCTGGCACGTGAATGAAGTGCCACCTCGAGAAGGACAGGGCAAAGATGCTGAAGCAAGAGCCCAGGCAGAAAGACAGACGCAGCTAGCCCAGCAGTGAGGCGGCACAGGCTCAGCTGCCTCCAAGTCAGGAGGTGAGACACACACAGGTGGCTACTCTCATAGATGCCTTCCTGCAGAAGGGCAGGCAGATTTAAAACAACCCTACAGCCACACAAAACAAGTCTAAGAAAGGATTCCAGAGGAGGATCAGAAAGATAGCTGCTTCTCTTCTCCCTCAGACAATTGAGCAAAATTATTAATATGAAGTTCAAGTGCTACATGATCCCTACAAACACAGCTGACTCTTTGCCATCCATAAGACACTCCCCATCCTGCAGCTTCCTCCCAGGAAGCCTCCCCTGATCCCCCAGGGTCTCTCTGTGACATGCTTTTACAACACTCTGGAGAGGCGGAGGTTGCAGTGAGCCGAGACCACGTCATTGCACTCCAGCCTGGGCAACAAGAGCGAAACTCTATCTCAAAAAAAAAAAAAAAAAAAACCAACACCCTGGACTCCTGCTTCACAACCCTTTCCTGATTGAATCAAATAGGTATTCGCTTAAAATCTGCTCCCACTATAAGAAGATAAATACCATGAGGTCAGGGACTACTTCGTTCTTATTAAATTCCCAGTATCCAAGACTCACTCTGCCTAGTACATATTTGAGGCTCAAACTATGCCTTGAATGAATGATTCAATCAAAGAGAAAATGAATTAAATGAGTAATGAATAAAATTGGCAGGTATCTGGAATGCAAGACCAAGGTGCTGGAATTATTTTCAGCATAAAAGAGAAGGAGAGAGCCAAGCATGGTGGCTCATGCCTATAATCTCAGCACTTTGGGAAGCTGAGCCAGAAGCCAGAAGTTCAAGATCAGCCTGGGCAACATATCAAAACTCTGTCTCTACAAAAAAAAAATGTGTTTTGGCCATAGTGGCTTATGCCTGTAATCCCAATACTTTGGAAAGTCAAGGCCAGCAGATTACTTGAGGCCAAGAATTCAAGACCAGGGTGGGCAACATGGCAAAACTTCATCTCTACCAAAAAAAAAAAAAAAAAAAAAAAAAAAAAAAAAAAAAAACAAAAAAAACAAAAAAAAACAAAAAACCCATATATATATATGCGCATGCAAAAGCCAGGTGTGGTGGCACATGCCTGTAATCCCAGCTACTCAGGAGGCTGAGGTGGGAGGATCACTTAAGCCCAGGAAGTTGAGGCTGCAGTAAGCCATGATCGTGCCACTACATTCTAGCCTGGGCAACAGAGTGAAGCCCTGTCTCAAATAAAAATAAAAAATCAGTCGGGCATGATGACACACGCCTGTAATTCCAGCTACTCAGGGGGCTGAGGCGGGAGGAGTGCTTGAGCCCAAGAGGTAGAGGCTGCAGGGAGCCAGGATCGTGCCACTGTACTCTACCCTGGGCAACAGAGTGAGACTCTGTCTCAATAAATAAATAAATAGGGGAAGGGCACATAGGGCAAGTCCTCGAGGAGCCAACAGACAGCCCAACGCAGGGACCAGCAGCTGTAGCCTGTGGGACCACCTGGCCAAACCAACTACCATATGGCTCAGTGAACTCGCCAACTAGGATCGTCTTCTACATTTTTAAATAGCCGAAAAACAAAAGAACAACGATTTTTTTTTTTTTTTTTTTGAAACAGAGTTTCACTCTGTTGCTCAGGCTGGAGTGCAGTGGCACGACCTCTGCTCACTGCAACCTCTACCTCCTGGGTTCAAGCAATTCTCCTGCCTCAGCCTTCTGGGTAGCTGGGATTACAGGTGTGCACCACAACACCCAGCTAATTTTGATATTTTTAGTAGAGATGGAGTTTTACCATGTAGGCCAGGCTGGTTTCGAACTCCTGACCTCACATGATCCACCTGCCTCAGCCTTCCAAAGTGCTGAGATTACAGGCATGAGCCACCATGCCTGGCCAAAACAATGATATTTTATGACACACAAGTTATTTGAAATTCTTATTTTGAGATGCATAAATAAAATTTTATTGGAACACAGGTACACTTGTGTGTTTACCTATCATTCAGGGCTACTTCCGTGCTGAGACAGTAGAGCTGAGTGGCTGGGACAGGGATCACATAACCCCCAAAGCCCAAATACTGACTTCCTGGCCCTTCACAGAAAAAGTTGCCTGACCCCTGGCCTGGAGCCTCTGTGGAATCACTATATCCCAGCGCCCATAAGAAAACTCTCACACAGTGGCATCTGCTAATGTCCGAGTCTCAGGAAAAAGCTGCCAGACACTGTCTGTTGATATAAAATGTGACTTAAACAACCATTAATAGAGTGCCAGTGAAATTAATAGCATACCCATCCGATGGATTACTGTACAGCTATTTAAAAGAATGAGTTAAACTAAAATGTACAAAGTATAGAAAAATGTCTGCATATACTGTCAAAGTAATTTAAAGGATAACACAGAAAATATTTTCCAATTTATTTTAAAAGCTAAGTGTACATATGTTTAAAAGGTGAGACCAGGGATTCTTACTTTTTATTTGAAACCTTTTTGTACTTATTGAAATTTTGTTTGTTTGATTTTGAGATGGAGTCTTGCACTTTCGTCCAGGCTGGAGTGCAATGGCGTGATCTTGGCTCACGGCAACCTCCGCCTCCTGGGTTCAAGCAATTCTCCTGCCTCAGCCTCCTAAGTAGCTGGGATTACAGGTGCCTGCCACCACACCCAGCTAATGTCTTGTATTTTCAGTAGAGACGGGGTTTCAGTATGTTGGCCAGGCTGGTCTTGAACTCCTGATCTCATGATCTGCCTGCCTTGGCCTCCCAAAGTACTGGGATTACAGGTCTGAGCCACCGCACCCAGCCTGTACTCTGAATTATTTTACCCTGAAAATAAACTATTCTCTAACTTAATAAAAGATAAAGCTACTGAAATTCAGATAGCCATTTTCCCCCACGCCCTTTTGCAATAGTGTAGCTTATTTGGAACAATAATGGATCCAAATTGATTGATGATCTCATGATCCTACAGTCCAGATTCTGTGTTTTACAGATGGGTGGTGCATATATAGACACGCTCTTCTCTGAAACTTGAAGTCGCTGAAAACAGTGCAAAGCTGTTCATGTGTTTGTTTTGAGGAAGCGTAAGATTAGAACATTCAGAAATAGTCCTACTTCCCTTTTCCTAGAAACTCTGTTACCTCTTCAACTAGACCACCCCTCTCGAGCCTGCGGAAGGTCAGGTTGCCAGGGGATACGAATAAACCAGCTGCCTTCTCTGCTTCTCTGCTAAACAGCAGCTGGCTCCCCTGTTACTAGGACCCTCTCCTGGGGCAGGCTCATAATCATAAGCTGTAGCCACGACGTCCCCAGGTGGGAAGGGGTGGTCACGTAGTCAGGCGGGCACAGAGGCCAAGGCTGAGCCAGCAGGTGGATTTGGGTAGGATTTCATCTTCTGCCTTGGCACGCAGGTCTATGATTCCCACCAAGTCTAACTTTCTTTGGTTTTAATCCTCTCAGTTCTCTCATGGTAACTTCTTTGGGGAGTCATAGAGATCAAGACAGCTCTATTTAGCTGGGTTGCCCTGTCTTGCCCTGCCCAAGACCATAGCCTGCAACAGTACCCTCTGGTCACCCTGCTGCAGAACCTGCCACGCTGTGCACCCCCTTTTATAAACCATCTACAGTTAACTTGGAATTCTGGGGTCATCTGAAAGCCTGGGAGGTCCATAATTATTGGGGGCATTGAGGTGTGGTCCTATTCAACTCAGAAATGCACGTGGAACCTGTACTATTTGATGGGATAAATAACCCATAAATCCCCCCAGCATTTCCCAAAGAACATTCAGAGAAATACCAGCCAGTGAGCTATTTAAGGAAAAGGACAAAATGTTGTAGTGAAATTAGGGAAACCTCACATTTGCAATCCCTGTTTTGAAGCTTCAAGATCATTAAAACCTTCAAAATTCCAAGAGGTCACACAGTGGCATCGCCTGGTTCATTTTATTCAAACCAGCTGTGGTCCATAGAATCTTTTGAGATACCTTTCGGAAAACACAGCCCCAGATGAAGAGGTTGGGTTTAACACAGATGCCCAAGGTGGATGTGAGGGTCCAAGGATGACCCAAACAGTGGGAAGGGCAGCCTTCCTCCCATGATACTCCCAGAGCTACAGAACCAGACCCACACCCCTACCACCCAGCAAGACTTTACTGCAGCCCTGAGCACAGACTTAAGAAAACGCCCCAGAAAGGTGAAGGAGGGAGGAAAAACCTGCCCCTCTAAAGAGACAGAACACCAGGGGGCTGGTGCAAGCTCCCCCCCTGAGCAGGACTCACCATTGGTGGTCGTGTTGACATAGTACCGCCGGCCCTGAGGCGACAGGTAGCTTTGCCAGCCAGGAGGAAGGATGACAGTCTGGCTCTCTTCTCCCGGCGGAGGGGGGACCATTCCAGGCTTCTGTTGGAGAAGAAAGAGAAACGTCACACCCATTTGGTATTTTTGCAAGTTTTTAAACCAGGAAGGCAGAGGCTGAATTCACCTTAGAGTAGCTTGACATTGGGACGTACGTGGCCCACAAGCCCCTGAGGTCACAGGCAGCACACGTGTGATCTCAGGGGCTGCAGGAGCACCAGCGGTGAGAAGCACCTGAGCATTCACAGCCCCTGCACAGGTGACAGCTCCTCTGGGAACAAAGAGGAAAATGCCATTCAGCTAATGGAGCTGGACTTTCTCAGCGGCCCCCTAGAAAATCACTCACAGGGTGCTGCGCTTACAAGGGAGCCCTGTCACTCCACCAGTTCCCACTGTGAAATCTGAAGCCTGAAATTCCCAGACCACAAAGCACAGCAGCAGACAAGGCCCCAGGCTTGCTGTGCAAACCTAGCAGAAGTAATTAATGCAAGTCATCACACAGCGAGATGCAAAACATTCTATGATAATGCCGAGAATCCATGAAGAGCTGGATGGAGCTTCTCTCCCCGTGTCCAGATCACTCTGGCAAGAAGAACTAGGTCTCAGAGACAGAACAGACGCTGACTTCCCATTGTATGCACTTATATGCGGTTTAATTCTTTTAACCATGTATAGAGTTACTTTTCATTAAGCATTAAAAATAAAATAAATGAGAGGCCAGGCACGGTGGCTCACACCTGTAATCCCAGCACTTTGGGAGGCTGAGGTGGGTGGATCAAGAGGTGAAGAGATCGAGACCATCCTGGCCAACATGGTGAAACCCCGTCTCTACTAAAAATACAAAAATTAGCCGACTGTGGTGGTGCGTGCCTGTAGTCCCAGCTACTCGGAAGGCTGAGGCAGGAGAATCGCTTGAACCCAGGAGGTGGAGGTTGCAGTGAACAAAGATCATGCACTGCACTCCAGCCTGGGTGACAGAGTGAGACTCTGTCTCAAAAAAAAAAAAAAAAAAATGAGTAAAATGTATACAACATATAAAGAAACCAGATATCAAGTAGACAGATGCTAAAAACAAAAATAAGCCATGATCCCTGGGTGCTAGGATTACACACATTTATTATTCTCTCCATTCTACATATCTATTCTAATTAAATTTTCTCCCATAAACACAAAAATAAAAGTTGGTAGCTAAAGAACATTTTAAAATTAGGAGAGTCTAAATTAGCCCACAAGATTGCTATGCCTTTTGAAGTAAATTGATTAAAATCAAAATTCTAGCCACAAGAAGAGAGTATCCACGAATTTCTCAGCAAAGCTAGAGCTTGTTCACAAACATTAAAGGGAATCGGCTCCCAAATGTCCCAGTATCCCCCAGCTATGCCCAAAGTGCTGGTCACTGGGGACCCCTGCTTGGGAAAACAAGATAACAGAATGAAAGAGAGCACACAGCTTCCAGGCTGCTCTTCCACTTTGTGAAGGTTGCAAGACCACGTGCTGTGGCTTCCCGTGGCTCCCTGCATGTCATCAGAGGGAACGAGTCAATCTGAGCAGCTCAGGGACTTTGAGTAAACACAGCCTCCCTTCTGCCCTCTGTGTAGCTGCAGTGTATGTTTCATTATGAATTTTCACAACTTAATTAAAAGCTTTCCCTGATGCCCTGGACGCTCTGTCTCCTACACCTGCTAATCTGCAGCTCCTGTTTGATTCTGTATGGAAGACCACCTTTTTTTTTTTTTCTTTGAGACGAAATTTCGCTCTTGTTGCCCAGGTTGGAATGCAAGGCACGATCTCAGCTCATCATAACCTCCACCTCCCAGGTTCAAGCGATTCTCCTGTCTCAGCCTCCAGAGTGGCTGGGATTACAGGCATGTGCTACCACGCCCGGCTACTTTTGTATTTTTAGTAGAGACCGTGTTTCTCCACGTTGGTCAGGCCGGTTTCAATCTCCCGACTTCAGGTGATCTGCCCGCCTCAGCCTCCCAAAGTGCTGAGATTACAGGCGTGAGCCACTGCGCCTGGCCAGAAGGCCATCTTCTAAGAAAGAGGCCTCCACACTGCTGTGGCCTCTTCAGGATTGAATGATGGCCAAAATACATGCAAGACAAATAGGATTATAACAAGGTGTGTGTGCGCGTGCGTGCATGCGCATGTTGAAAGAATGAGAAGTATCCCATGCACAGGAGATGTATGTTCTGTCCAGTGGGACTAGGAATAAAGTAAGCACGGGGGCATCAGGGGGTTAAAAATGAGGGTTAGGGCCAGGTGCAACGGTTCAGGGTTGTAATCCTAGCACGTTGGGAGGCTGATGTGGAAGAATGGCTTGAGTCCTGGAGTTTGAGACCAGCCTGGGCAACATAGGAAGACTCCATCTGCAAATAATTTTTAAAATTAGCCAGGTGTGGTGGTGCACACGTGTAGTCCCAGCTACGTAGGAGGGGTGGGAGGATCACCTGAACCTCGGAGGTTGAGGTTGCAGTGAGCCGTGATCGCACCACTGCACCCCAGCCTGGGTGACAGAGTGAGATCCTGTCTCCAAACAAAGAACAACAACAACAAATAAAAAACACACAACAACAACAGGAATGAGCATTTGATGAAAGAGATTCTGGAACCAGAGGGGCAAGGTGCCAGGTGTCCTCTCCTTGAGTGAAATATTCTAGTTTCTCCTTCAATCAAACATGGGAAGGCCATATTGGTGTTTATCCAGATAAATTGGGGGGGGAGATGGGAAGGATCAAATATTGACATGGCCAGAAAAGGGGTGCAGCGACGGGGACCCACAGGCACAGTGAAAACAGTCCTCAGGCTCAAACAGCCTTCAGTGCCAATCCTGCCTGGACTGCTTAGCAGCCATGTGACCACAGGCTCCTGACTCACCAGTCTATTCTGGAATCTGTAAAATGAAGGGTGATAATATGAAGACAGGAGACAGTTAACAATAAACAGCCTGGCACTAGGGATACACAATGAATGCAGGTTTCTGCTGAAGGGCTTCACACGGTCTGTCTCCGGAGATACCGACCTCCACCCTAGCCTCACCATCCCTGGGTCTGAAATGTCACCATCAATAGTCACTTCTCTGAGCTTTCTGTTTCCAACACTAGCCGACTCCAAAGGCAAACACCTGCTGGGGAGGTTAACGGCTTGAGAGCTGGGCAGTGAGGAGACCACTCCTTACAGGGGCTGGAGAGCCAGTGGACACAACCCGTGACCCTCAGCGCCCCACCCACAAGAGAGCAATAATGACACCATCCCTTCTCCACAAGACACTGATGACCAAGGAGGTCTCCTCCAACGAGGACATTCGGGACCTTACAGAAGGGAGACATCCTGATACTGAGCCTTGAAGGGCCATGAGATGCTGAAAGAGGGGAGGAGGAGGACACTGGGGCCACCAGGCTCATCTCCTACTGTGACTGATGTGGCAAAGTTGGTCTCCACATCTTCCTCCTGCCCGGCCACGCTCTGCCTCCATCTCCCATGGCAGCCACGGCCGCTTCACCTGTCCCCTCTCTTAGAAAGAAGTTCCTCCTAATGGCTGACTTTCGACAAGTCAGAAGTCAAAAGACATGGAGACAACCAGGTGTAGACCCAGAAACCTAGAAACAAGCAGTCAAACAAAAATTGGTACACGGATGTTCATGGCAATATCATTTGTAATGGCCAGAAAGCGGAAACAACTCAAATACCCATCAACAGATGGATGGATAGTGTGCTGTAGCCATACAATGGAATATTATTTAGAAATTTTTAAAAATGGAGCAGTGATCTATGCTACAACATGGATAAACCTTGAATACATTATGCTAAGTGAAAGAAATCAGACACAAAAGACCACGTATAGTATGATTTCATTCACATGAAATGCCCGGAACGGGCAGAGCCATAGAGACAGAAATAGATTTTTCCAGGGGTCTGGGGAGGGGAGAATGGGTACAGATTTTCCCTTTGGGGTAATGACAAATGTTCCAGAACCAGATCATGGTAATGGCTGTACAGTATCATCAAATGCATAAATATCACTGATACTCTCATGTGTATTGTACCACAATTTAAAAAAAAATTTTTTTAATGTGGTGAAGGCAGAAATTAGACCTCCCTACCTTCAAGTCCTCATTTAAGAGCCAACAGCAGCCAGGCACAGTGGCTTATGCCTGTAATCCCAGCACTTATAGAAGGCCGAGGTGGGTGGATCACCTGAGGCTAGGGGTTCGAGACCACCCTGACCAACATGGTGAAACCCCGTCTCTAATACAAAAAAAAAAAATTAGCCAGGTGTGGTGGCTCATGCCTGTAATTCCAGCTACTCGGGAGGCTGAAGCATGAGAATCACCTGAATCCGGGAAGCAGAGGTTGCAGTGAGCTGAGACCGCACCAATGCACTCCAGCCTGGGCAATAAGAGCCAAACTCCGACTCAAGAAAAAAAAGAGCCAACAGTATCAGCATTATCTCACCCTTCAAGGCTACGGAGGGGAAGGAGCAGCAGGCCCACAGTCCTCAAGAGGATACAGTGTGCATTACCACCCAATAATTAAGGGCTCTCTCAATCTTATTCTTCTAATTAGTTTCCTTCCAAGTTAAATCCTTCCCTTCTCTTTCTTAGTCCTGTGGCTTTTTTTCCCTTAATTGTGTCAGCACTTTCCCATGGGAACAGAACTAGAAGCAGAGGTGACACAGGCCCAGAGGGTTGGGGACAGACCCCACCTGGAAGGAACAAGATCACAGGTAGCAGGAGTGGGGGTGGGGAAAATGAAGGAAGTTTTTTTCTAAACTCAGACATTCTTTACCTAATGCACAGGGTGTCTTTGTGGGAATTAGAAAACATGGCCTCTTCGTCTGGAAGGGACCATCCCTCAGCCAGAGTGCAAGGCCAGGCTTCGGTCCCTCTCCGTCCACCCTCACCTGGGCCTCCTTGTTCAGTAGGCAGCCTGCTCAATGATATATATGGAAAGTCCATCCTCTAAGAATCTGAGGAAGGCTATGGATCTTCTTCCCCCTAAAAAGGGTGCACACACACACACACACACCACACACACACACACAC